ATCTCCTCTGCAAACACCCTCACAGACACACCCAGAAATAATGTTTTACCAGCTATCTGGGTATCTTTAAACCCAGTCAAGTTGACACATAAAATTAACCATTACACCTGCCACGTTGGCAAGGATGTGGAGAGATGGGAATACAAACTGGCACAGGCATCCTAAAAAACAACCTCACACAATTTGGCCTCATCTTATGAGGAAGGCTTCTGCACAAATGATTAAAGTTCATGATGCATTTCTTCAAAAACTTTTCATTCAGATCCATAGAGGTCACCAAACTAGACATTCATCTACACATTATTTGTAGCAGAGGCAACCCAAGTGTTCCTCATTAAAAAAGAAGAAGAGAGTAAAATGTGGTAGAATTTGTGTGTGTGTGTGTGTGTGAGTGCGAACATTAGAAAGCAACAAAAATGTCAACACAATAGATTTGTTTGTTACCAACATGTCTTGTGAAACAATACAGGTTTTACAAAATTCCATACACATAATTAGCATAGCTATCAAATATATTAGGGAGGATTCTTATGAAGAAGAGGAATGAGAATTAAAGAAGAAAAAAATAAAATGATTAAAACAGAAGACTTTCACAGACTGATAATAACTTGCCTAAACAGAACTGTGTTTAATTCAGCTCTCCCACCTGATTCCTTTTTTTTTTTTTTCCTTTCTTTCTTTCTTCTCAGTATTGGGTATAGACCCCAGGATCACTCTATCACTGAGCTGCATCCCAGCCATTTTTTTTTTATTTTATTTTCACTCAGGTCTTGCTAAATTTCTCAGGCTGGCCTCTAATTTGTAATCTCCTCCCTCGGCCTTCGAAGTGGCTGGTATTAGGATTATAGTCATGCACCACCATGCCTAGTTCCAAGTTCCATTTTTAAAGAAGAGAAAATGTATTAAAATGTCTAAGGGGTATATAGTAAGATATTAATAGTGGTTATCTCTGAGAGTGGTGAGTGTTGTTGCTGCACTTAAAAAATATTGTATAACAAGCAAAATGTACTTTTTATTTTTAAAAATTCATCTTCCTACTCAGAATTACTTTCCTGCTGTTGGATAAATGTACAATAACCTACTAAAATCAGCTGCCTGTGTGGCCACAGTCATTTTATTGTTTTTCCAGAATGTTCCAAAATAACTCTGGAACAAGACCAGTGGGACCACCAGATAGCTATCTAGCCTCACCCTTCTTCCCATGCAAATGAAGACCAAGCCTCCAACCCAGCTTTGGCAGAAACCTCTGTGGGACTCAGGATAACAAGGCCCTCTCCTCAGCTGGGGAAAGGAGGGGCAGCACTCATAACTCTCAGAGTCAGCTCAGAACATCCTCTGAAAAACTGCCTTGAGCAGCAGTTGCCAAGACAAAAGGTCCCACCTCAAGGGTGGAAACACTATTTGCAGCTTTGTAGACACAGGTGTTCTTCCAGAGACTTAAGACCTACAGTGTGGGACAGTGTTTGGCCAGGAATAGCTCAGAAGGCCTTCCCCTCAAAAGCCAGCTCTTGAGGGCTTCAGTGTATGTTCTAACTATATTTGGCAATACAAACCAAAGAGGTCAGTGGCTTAGCTCAGGGGGAGAAAAGGCTATTCCTGAGTTATAATCCCTGCTTCAAACCAGGACCAAGAATTTAAAACTCACTTCACTTATTTATTCTGTATGCACTGAGCTTACTGTTGAAGCAATTCTTCCTCCCAGTCCTACCAGGCCTCCTGTAAACCCTATAGAACCACAGGTGTAAATCACCTACCCAAACCACCCAGTAGTAGGGGACTCATGGGGACATCTGGCTTGAGAACCTAAATATTAAAAGTTTTCCATTTTACTCCTTATGGCTCTGGAGCATCAAAATAGACCCTTGCACCTGAGTGCACATCCAGGCTCCCCCATTTATTAGTCACTGTGTGACCTTGGCTAAGTTACTTTATGTCTCTGAGGTTCAGTTGCCTTATCTACAAACAGAGATAATAACACCTACTTCACAAGGCTGCTGTGAGAACTAAATAAGATAAGGTATATAAAGTGCTTAGGAGAATATCTGACACCAAGCTCATGCTAAAAAAAGAATTGCTTTCCATTCCTCTCTGTCACTCCCCTCCAACCTTAGCTGTTTAGCTCTTAGAGGAACGGCCTGGTACCTTTGGCTGATTACAAATGGATAGTACCATCACACAGCCAGCAACAGTAGCTGCAGATAACAGCTACTTCTCAGCTGTGGACAGGTTGAATCAGCTCACAAATGACTCATCACTGTTGATAAATGATGTGTTCTTGGCATCAAGAGATACTATCCTGATAAGCTCAGCACCTTGTGGAAAAACAACAACAACAACAACAAACAAACAAACAAAACTCCAGAAGCCTTGCTGAATAGCTTACAAAGAAGCCTAGGATTTGATGGTGACCTTCAGCTAATCCTGACCATGTACCAGACTGGTCATAGGAGGGTCTCTGTCTCCTCAGAAATGTCTGCAGTCACAGGATTAGCAGTGGGAAGGACTCCAGCTGAGCAGCTGCCTCTCCCTTCTCAGAGCTGCACCATTTGAGCTGTACTCGCCTCAGATTCCCTGAAGTCATAAGACTCCTCAGGGAAGGCTAGATGCCTGTTCCCTGCTTACAACAGCCCCAAGCTGGTGCCCAACCTGCCTTTGGCAGCTTGGTCTGGTGGCTGAAGCTCTGCCAATGTGAGGTTTGGCTGGAGGGCCCTGTGGGGACGGGACAAACCCTGGCTGCTCAAAGAAGAGGGAAAGTGTTTAGTCTTTAGCCACCGTCTGTGAGGCTGAAGTGTTCACGGTTCTTTGCAGTTTCTGTAGCCCCTTCAGACCACCCCAAATTCACTCCTGGCACAGAAATTCCTTGATGGTGTTTTCACTCCTTCATTCATAATCCTGTACTTTCCCAGTGCCTAGCACAGAGTTCTCTCCAAGTGAATATTTATTAAGAGGTCCTTAAGGACACGATAGTCTGTGGCTGCATTCATAAACCCTTCAATTCTGGTGAACCTCACAAAACCCGTTAAGATCAACCAGGATAATAATCTGTATAAGATGGACACTCATCAACAGCCAGTTGCCAATAACTGAGGCCTGGTATAGAAATTTCATGTTCTAGGGTCTTCTTTCTCCTAAACTGAAACTGCAGCCAGTTGCAGTGTAATCCCAGCAAGTCTGTAATTCCAGTAAATCGGAGGCTAAGGAGGGTCACAAGTTCAAAGCCAACTTCATCAACTTAGTGGGACTCCATCTCAAAATAAAAATAAAATGGTCTGGAGGCATAGAGCACCCTGGGGTTCAATCCCCAGTCAAAAATAAATAAATAAAAATTGAAGAAGAAGAGGAGGAGGAGGAGAGGAAGGAAGAAAGAAAAGGAAGAAACTGCTTCAGAATCAGATTGTCTGTCGACTCAGTCCTAGGATCTACATGTTCATGTGTGTATGCATGCTGCTTCTGCAAGGAAGAGCCATTCTCAGAGGGGATCTATAATGTGTAATTGAAGCAAAAGCCCCAAAGGGAGGTAAGCCATTCTGGAAACATTTCCATCCTCCAAACCACCTTTAGACTTTCCTCAACAGGTAAATTTCTAAGATCCCTTTGAAGCTTTGAAGTGGAAAGGCTAGAGAAACTTTGTAGAAAAGACAGAATGAGGTCTTCAGGATGTTGGCTGAGACAACGGGGCAAGAAAATCAAAATCAGGTATGCCTCTTCCATAGTCATTGCCTCCCCCTACCTTCTCCTCCTGTCGTAACTGTTCCTGTGCCCCCTGTCCTAGTCACTCAATGTCTAGCATCTAGCCTCGAAACTGGGGGTAACTTCTAAGATGATAAGGCATAAAGAAAGGAGCAGGAAGGAAGGAAAGAGAGAAAGAAAGGCCAGAGAGAAGGGGGAGGTGAAAAAGGCTTCGGTAGGAGGAAGGAAGAGGAGAGCTGCAAGGGGAGGCGGAACAATGAAGGTCTCAGGCCGTCCGAGGCGCACGGTTCCGGCGGCACGTCCGTCCAGCCCGCCTGCGGCCAGCAGCTGCACGCTGCGCAGCGTGTGGGCGCTGAGTCACTGTCCCAGAACAGCAAGCCGCGGTGCAGGTCGAGGGGGGAGGGGGCTGGTTGGCATTTGCAAACTTTTTTTTTCTTCTTTCCTCTTTCATTAAGGCTGTGTGCTGACTCCCACGTAGGAGAACTTATTAAACCGCACGTACTGCCTCTTGGCTCTTGGGGCCAATCCGAGGCGGTCGGCAGGGGGCGCCACAGGCTCGCTTACGGGCCCACCAGCTTGCTGGGAGCTAGAGCGGAGAGAGGAGTAGGGTGCTGGTTCCCGAGATACACGAACATTTTGGTGGTGTAGCTTTTAATTTTGACACTCGCAGCTGCGGGAGTAAACTCCTCACTAGAAACCTCGAGACACCCAACTATCCCAGGAACGCTTTCACTCAGGGTTCCATGAGCAATTCCATAAAACTGGGCCTCGATTGCGCAAGACGGGGAGTCCAGTCTCGCCTCCCCACTAAGGCTTATCCTATCCAGCCGCTCCTGGCCGCCACGCTAGGCGGTGACCTCGGGCGTCTCCGCGAAACTGATTCGCACCCAGGACACGCGCTCTGAGCGCCCCTCATGGAGCTCGTGACAAGTAAGCTCTGTTAGGTCAGAGCTCTGACGGGTCAACTCGCACCTTCACTTCCATCCCTCCTGTCCAATACCAGCGGCTAGACCCCAAGTTTCCGAGCAATCGGGAGCAGGACCCTCCCTGCTTGGATGCGTGAATCGAGAATGAATCAGCATTGAGACAGTTTATTGGTTTGCAGTTCGCGTATCACCCATTTTATGTAAATAGATTATAGAGACACAATGTTTCCTTCTTCCACAGGCAGTAACCAGGCACTCTATTTTACACACGCACGCGCGCACTCACACACACATTCCACGAACCAAACAATGTTACACCTCGCTGAGACATTCACGTCTTAAAATAGGGGGAAGGGACAATATAATTGCTTTAAAATGCCCTTAATACAATATATAACGTACAAAAATATCTCTATATATTTGAAGTTACAAAAAAAATCTTGACAGCAACAAACTTAAATATTGATAGTTACCTCTGTATGTACAACACGCATTGCACTTTTCCTCTCTAGGTTTGTAAAGTTCAAGTAATATTGGGGCTTGCGCCCCGAAGGGTGACACCCCACGAGAAATAAGTTTGTGAGCGGGCAAAGCAGTGGCTCAGACCCCTGCTCCGAAGGTCTCAGCATTTATTTCTTAGTTTCTCCTCTCCCTGAGCCTGGCACTCCCTCGGATTCCTCTGCCCTCCCTGGGCACCCAAGTCTCATGGGGTGAAGAGAGCGCTCAGCCCCGAAGGAGAAGGGGCTCTGCAATGCCGGGGCTCGAGGCCAAACGGTGCCTTCTGGACTCCAGGTATCTGCAAGACTTTCTCAGCCTGTTCCCCGAAGTCCTCTGCTCTGGGAGGCGCCAGTGGGACGCTTGCGCGACTGTTCGATGCTGTCACGGGAGAGTGGAAAGCACTTGGTGCACCCGGGAGTCCCGAGATGCGCGTGCCTGTGGCTCGGAAGACACCAGAGTCCGGCCCTGGCCTGCCTCGAGCAAGGAACGACGGCGCCGGCGGCCATAGCCTTGGGGGCTGATCTTGCTTCTGGGGGCGACACCGTCCTTGTCCTTGTCTGTGAACTGGTAGATCTGGTGTGCCAGCTTCTGCACGGTGCACGTCCCGAAACGGCAGCCAAAGCTCCGGAGGCCCTGGAAGTTATTCATACTCTGGCGGTAGCGCTTGACTCGAATGCGGGCGGCGTCCGGACTGCTGGGAAGGGGAAAGAAGGCTACTTGAGACCCCATCAAGCAGGGCTTTGGCCCCAGTCATCAGGAACGAGAGTTATTCTAGGACCCGAGGGAGTTGTAAATTGCTCCGACATCTGAGCTGCAAATCCAGTCCCTGTATGCCCAGGGCCAGGACAGAGGAAAGGGATAACTCCTCCGGCACATCCCCCTCCCTGCACGGGGCATAGTTACCTGATCTGAGGGCTGTGAGAAGCGCCCTTCACGTCCTGGGGCCGTATGAGAGTCTGGACACGCTCGGCCTTCAGGTCAGCGAGCCCGGTGGGGTAGCTGCTGGACACTCGCAGTTCCCTCTTCCCTCGACTTACAGCCCACTTATTCCATCTAGAAAACACAATCAGAGGCAATTCGGGTAAATTCAAGCGACTTCCCGCCCGTACTCATTCTCATTCACTCTTTTATTTTTTAAATTATTTACAGTGCTAGAGATCCAGGCCAGGGCCTCGAGAATGCTAAGCAAGCTCTCTATCCCTGGACTACATCCTCAGCCCTCCCACTCACTTCTAACCCCCGCGAGACCAACGATCAATTTTTCCCTCGTCTGCCAGGTATCATGACTGGGGAAGACGCTGCCAGGACTCACTTCTTTCTGAACTCCGATGCCACGTCGAGCCGAGCAGTATCGGCGCCTAGGAAGGCGAGTGAGCCCAGGAACATCAGAGCGACGGAAAACAGTTTCATTCTGGCAATGCACAGACACTGGAAAAGTAGAGAGGACGAGCATGAGCACCCTGGTCTGCTACACCTCCCAGGCGGGGCACAGCCGGAGGGCGGGGGGCCCCGGAGCGGGCAGTGTCAGCCTCTTGTTCTGCTTGGTTTAGACGCTTATCTCCCCTGGGCTCAGAGACGCCAGAGGTGTTTGCACCCGCCGATGACCCGCCCCACAGGGGAAGCAGCTGCACAGCACCAGGCTCCCAGAGGTTCCCTGCTCAATGTTTGAAACTTGGTTTGTGAAACAGAGGAGACTAGGTCTCTGGAGCTCCATCTGTATGCATGAGCGGGATTCGGATATGCGGGGTGTACCCCGCAGAGAATTACCCAAAGTGGGTTATTTTCCTCATCCAGCGCTCCCAGTTTCGGGTTTTGGCAAATGCCGCCCCCCCTCCCGCTTTAATTCGCTGGGCCTATGGCACCTACCTGCTGAAGGGGTGATTTGCCAAGTTCTTGGAGGAAAAGGTCCGAGACGTCCCTGTCAGGCAGTAGCAAAACACCGAAGTCCAAGACTGTGATGAGAAGCCAGAAGTGGTAAGGCTGAAGCTGTTCTGCCTAGTGTCACCAAGAAACCACTGAGTGGCCAGCACTGGTTCCTGCGCTTTATAAGAGCCGAGGGGGCGGGGCCTGTTCTGCCCTCGCGCCCTCCCTTTCCTCCCGCGCGCGCGCCCCAGCGCAGTGCTTTCCCTTGAGTGTGGAGTTGGGGGGACTCTTGTGCTTGTGCCCGGAGTGCTCAGAGATGGGCTCCAGGAGATTGGTGGAGAAACTGCCACAGACCTAATTCTCTGGCATGGGTACAGGTGATAAGCAGGGGCGAAGGAAGACCAGGAAAACTTTTTTGGGGGGTTGGGGGTGGGATTCTTATCCCAGGACCTTTACAACTCAGTGCGGGGCCTTCTGGCATCGAGTTGCTAGAGCTAGAGCCGGAGGACCGTGCGCGTGGCCTGAGCCCGGGACCTGGGGAGCTGTGGCTTCAAGTGGACCGCGCCCCCTGCCGGCTCAGCGCCTGACCTAGACTCGACCCCAGACTCCCGCGGAGCCTCGGGGCAGGGTACGGATAAAGAACCCAGGAGAGAAGAGTGGGAAGCTAGCCCCCGCCCCAGAGAGCGAGAGCGGCTGAGGCCCGGAGGTTTCTGGATGGGCTACTGAGATTTCGCAATAAGGACAAAGCTCGGAAGGGCTGAATTGAGAATTGGGATTTGGAGGGGGTAGTTATCCGAAGTTTCAGAATTTACATGCCTATTTGGAAACACGGGAATAACCAAAATTAGGAAGAAAGATACCGTTTTATCTCCCTCCCACCTTTGTAATCCAATTATGCCTTATAAGGTTATAACCTGGCTGCCTTCATCCACCCATTGTAAACGTGAGGATTGACTGCCAGGGAGCACACGAACTCTTCACATATGTTAATCGCTTTACAGTTTAAAAGCACAACCACATTCCGATTTCCTTTGATCTTTATACTAACCCTTGAGTTAGGGAAGGAAGGTAACATTACTTTCCCCGTTTCACCATGTATAAAATTGAAGTTCAGAGAGGGGAAGTGTATTGGCTAAAGCGACACTAAATGTAGGAAGCAAAAGAGTCCTAACTCGATCCGGCAAGCAAGCAAGGTGCTTTGGGGCGCGGCGGCGTGGATTCTTCTAGGCTGGGGTCACCATTTCTTCAAGGGGGAGAGAAGAGTCCCAGCCCCCGCCCGAGGATATGTGCCTATTCATGATGAATCAGTTCAAACACGTTTGTCACCCATTTGTGCTATTCCCTCCCAGCTTCTCCACTTCACTTTCTTGCTTACTTTCTGGGGGCCAAATTAGGGAGGAAAGGCTCAGCCCCGTGGGGCTCCCTTTTTACATGTGGGTCTCTGATGTCCTGTCACTCACAACCCCAATCAAATGTCCTGAAGTCCAGCAACTAAATTGAGGCCCAGGGTGTGAGACCACTGACTAAATTGGCTTTTTGTCTTTGTTCCCTGACAATTCTGACATGGGCAAGTCACGGTCTCTCTTTAGTGTCCGCCTCTAGAATGTGTTCCCTGCAGATCTCCAAATCCCCCACCTCCCCTGCCATAATCAGTCTGAGATCCAGGGAACTGGATCCCCCGACCTTGTCCACAGTGTTCCTGGGCTGAGCATACTGGCTCAGCCTCCTTTTCACTCTCAGGACTGAACCATGGACATTGCACCTGGGGAAGAAATGGCGGAGACAAGGTTATTATGAGGGCTCTTGCCAGAGGGAATCACTAGACGTGAGTTCCAACTGAGAGCGGGGGACAGATTCCACGTTCTGGCACTGGTAAGGACTTGGAAAGCTCAGGGTTGGAGGGGTGGGTGCAGCGCGGCGAATTGTCCCGTTTCAGGTCGCCTGACTGGCCGCAGGACCGTCACCACAGAGACCGGCACGTCAGGCGGCTGGTCTGTCTGCACCGCAAACAGCAGGTATTACTGTTCGCTTGCTGTTTCCAGAAGCCTCCCCAGTCTAACTATTGTTTTTGTTGTTCTCTCCCATTTTCCGTCTCTTCCTTTCACTTCGTACCCAGGATCTTCTTCACACAGATCCTGTCTAAGATGATGGGCTGTCAGTCTCTAAGGATGCAACCTACCTGTCACCAGCTTCCAGCTGAGTCCGCACCAGATCAGGTTTTACTTTCATTTCCCCAGCGTGCGCCCAGGAGGTCAAGGACAGCTGGGCGTTGGCCCACTGCCAGGGAAGGTCCCGTGATCTGGACTCGTTCTTTCCAGTCCCTACCAACCCTGAGAGGTTCGGTCTGCAGAGAACTCTGCAGCTGTACCTCGTTACTTCCTCGCCATGTCCTTCAGGTAGACGGTGATGCTTTGAGGGAAACTGAACTCTAGCTTCCAGCCATGATCTTGAAACGTGCTCTTGGCTCAAACGTCTTTTTGAGCTGCAGGCGGCTTCAACAAGGAAAATAATCCAGGGGTGGAAACAGACTCGGTGGCTTGGCTCCATCAAGCTACAATGTCTGCGCCAGCGGCGTCACGTCTGTGTCAGGATTCCCACCTGAGAGCCTTGGCACGGGTCTTATCAGCCTGGGTGCTGTTTGCCTCTCAGGCAATTAGCAGGTCTGTCGCTTAAGAAAAAAGCCAATACTTTCTTTAACTCCTATATTGGCAATTCAGAGGATTTTATTAGAAAATCTGTATCTTGGAAAGTGTGTGTGCCTGAGTGGGGCAGCAGGGGTCAGATTGTCCCCCAAAACATCTTAGGGCCTAAGTCCAAAAAAGATAATGAATTTGCCAAATCTGGACATCCATCCCACCCCCCACCCGGTGGAAACTAGTTGCCTTACTTAATCATTCTTAAAGGAAAAAACAACAACAACAACATAAATGCAGCACACACACACACACACACACAAAAAAAAAAAAAAAACACAGGAGTTCTCTTTCTGGTGATTTGTTAACACAAGAGTTTCCTCCATTCAAGTTGCAATGATTGTAGATTCCCACTGAACATGGACAGTACAAGGAAGGAAGGAAGGAAGGAAGGAAGGAAGGAAAGGAAGAAACATCTTAAATATCTTCCTGGCAGGAAAAGAGAAAGAAAAATAAAAGAAATCCTGGTTAATGAAGACCAACTAATTTTGTGTGTGTACACCAAATAATTTTGAAGGTGAGATTATAAATAAACTCCCAAAGCATTGTAATAAATGTGTATATCCTGACATGGTATGTACAAACATAAGTATACATACTGAAAGTTTGTTGAATGATGGTATTTCAGTTTCTTCTTTACATTCTCATTGAGTTTTTTAGGCCGTAAATTCAAGCATTATTCTCAATAATGTTTGGAATTTAAAAAATTGTGTGGTGGTGGTTTCTCAGTTAACACTGTGGACACAATCCCTAAAGTTAGGGTAATCACACTTAACTCTTTCAGAAAAGTAATGGGAAATAACTATTAATAAGAATAACTAAAACACAAGTAGTACACAAGTAGAGGAGTACATTGCATAGTGATTGCAGATGCCTCTTTTTTAAAAACAGGAAATTTTATGGTGCATTTAGTATTCATGTAGCTCAAAATGTCTGTAAAGTTCAGAGGTTGTTTACAACATTCTCTTGAAAACAAGTTTCAAGATGCATCCTGAAATCATAACATCAAGTGGTTTACAGAAAGGACACAATCAGCCTTGCAGATTTGGTCTCATAAGGAAAACTAAAGCAGGATATAAAGGCCAGGGAACTTTTTTGATATCTCTGACTTCTCAAAGGAACTAATAAAAATATAGATTCTTTCCATAAATGGACATATACATAAAATCAATTAAAGTATGAAACAGGCATACAAGTTCAGGAGATTGACCAAGTTGAAATCTCTGACATAATAAAAAGTACCATTTCTTTAACTTATATCTGCTTTGGAGTGGTGGGGTCAGGGAGTGCAGTTAACCTCTGCTTTTAGTGCACAATATTTTTCCGAGCATCAGCATGAAGAAAAGTATGTTTTTGGTGCTCCTTGCCCTTCTTTTTTTTGTGTGTGTGTGTGTGTGGTTGTTATTTTGTTTTGTTTTTGGTGCTGGGGATCAAACCCAGGACCTCACATGTGTTAGGCAAGTGCTCTACTACTGGGCTATATCTCCAAACCCATGCTTCACTTTTGTGTTTCTGCACAAAACAGACAGAAAGTCAGTCCTTGTCCATGATCAATCCAGAGGATAGATCTCTTTAAAGATTAGGGAAGTTAAATTGCTGGACAAATGAAAAAGAACACAGAGAAAGTAATAAGCATAAAAATATTATACTAAAAACATAACAGAACAAAATAAAATGACTTCAAGAGAAATTTTCTATGAATGTCCTTAATGAATGGATGATAGAAAGCATGATTAGACATTTAAGGTCACTTCTAGCCAAAGAGAATGGTGTTAAGGAGAGGTACCTGCCTACAGGTGAGGATCTTATACTATCAGATTACAAGAGAGAAGGAAATTTAATGTATGAGCCTGTATGATTTGAAAGTTTATTCATTCCTTCAACAAATATTTACTGCTCATGTATTAAGTGTACAGCATTCTGCTAAGTTCTGAACATACAGCAGCCATCAATGAAAACATCACTCTTGCCCTCAACAAACTTACAGCCTAGTAGAGAAGCCAGCTGTAATCACATACTCACAGGAATAAATACATGATTGATTATAAACTGCAGTAATGTTCCAAAGGAAAACCAATGACTCAGGTGACTTAATGTTCCAAATGGAGAAAATAGTATATGCCCAGAGATAGAAAAATTTTTAGTACATTAGGGCTGAAGATGTAGCTCAGTGGTAGAGCACTTGCAAGATCCTGGGTTCAATCCCCAGTCGGCAGAGTGGGGAGGAGAGTAAGCTGTGCTCTGTAGCAAAATTATAGCTGGGCATGATAGTGATGCCTATTATCCCAGTGATTCAGGAGGCTGAGGCACAAGGATCTCAAGTTTGAGGCCAGCAACTTAGCAATCCTGTCTGTTTGAGGTTGCAACTTAGCAACCCTGTCTCAAAAT